GACTCATAACGATTGAAAACAATGTTTTTGCTTGAGAAAGAAAAACTAATTTTAAGACATGCGTGTCCGTCAACCTTAAACAATCTTAATCTTTTTGAATTTTATTTTTAAGTCTTTATGATGGTCGATACTTGATCTATCTCTTACTGTTACATCCCTGGGCTCTATTGCTTGTATATATATATATATATATATATATATATATATATATATATATATATATATATATAGGTAACTACACTGTCTCGATAGGTTTTAGTGAAACCTTGGTAGGTTTGTCTATATCTAGGTTTGACTATATATATATATATATATATATACTTTTACTGCTCTGTTATTAGCTCTACAAAGAAGAATAACTTAAATATATATGCCTATACACGTTTATTATGCATTTCAATATGCTTCATGCATATTTTCATTGTAATAATGATTTGGGAATATGGACGAGAGGAAGCAATTTTCAGCATACCTCCATACATAAACAGACTCTCGAAAAGAATGCATGTGGAGAAGCTCCGGAAAATAAAGCGTGCGCAACGAAATACTGACGCTACAATAGAATGGTTAAAAGTCAGGTGGCAGAGAGAAGAAATGACACAGAAGAAGTGTACACCTGAGAAAGGTTGCAGAATTAAATACCTATAGATATACAGAAAAATATTCACGCTGAGTTAAAAGAGTTAGCCGCGTTTGAAAATTAATATTGATATTTGTGTCTAATATCATGGCTTAAGGAGGACATTCATAGGGCATACGTGCTTATGCAGAAATATATAATATGTATATATGTATATATGTACATGAAAGATAATTAACATATCTGTTCAAGAATCCAATATCTTGCGTATGCCTTTGCCCTAAAGTCTGATTTGTGAGTAAAACTTTGAAGTAAACAGAAACTAACAACCCACACAATGAAACGTATTGTTTAATATAGCAAACCTCGTAGGAAATAAAGGAAATTACTGTGACTCAAACCGAAATATAGGAAGAAAAGAAAATGAAGTAATAATTGACAAGAAAAATCAATTTGTAGCGGTTTAACTTCGGGCAGAGTTGGCTGTAGGCTTTCCAGAAAAAAAAAAAGCTATTCAATATTGATGAGAAAGATTACGAAGTAGAGAAACAAAATAATACGTAAGTGTTTCGCATGTAATATATATTGGAGAAAAACATATGAGATGAGGAAATAAAGAATGGAGATGAACTGAAAGGCGAAAGAGTGCAAAAAGGAAGAAACGAAGAAGAACAATAGAGAAGAGTTCGCTGGCTGAAATAGTTGCGTCTTTATTGTCATTGCCGGCCGTTGCTAGTCGAGATCAGTTAATAACACTCTTTAATTTACATTCTCGTATTAATGCCAGATATGGAAGTATGATTATGAGAATTAAACAAAACATAAATTTTAGCGATAAACATTAGTGATGATAACATATAAGTTTTTTTTTAATTTATTTTGGGCGTAGTAAGCGAAATAAAATGTAGCCATTTTTATCAGATACGGGCGGAGATGAACAGCAGAGCTCATGCGGTCAATAAAAGATAAGAGATCGAGTGTACGTATCCTCCGTAAACTATATCCAATCGGTGTGGTGGAGACATCAAAGATTCCCTTCCCTGCCGGCCGGACATGACCTCCGACCCATGGCAATTTTTTGTCTCTCTCGTCTGTTTGAGAGCCATGTTCATTTAAACATGTTATGTTGTCTTGTATAGCAGTGAGTGCTGGGCGATCTCAAATATGAAGAGGAGACCTGAAGAAGCAGCAATGTGGTTCTACGGAAGGATGCTGAGGATACAGTGGACCGAATATAGTTTTTGATAAAATGGAAACAAAAAGATAACTAATACTTAACGTTGGAAAGTTACATTTGAAATTTCTAGGGCTTACAATGAGGAAGATGGGTTTAGAAAATCTGATACTCACGGGGCAGATAGAGGGCAAAATGGACAAAGGAAAAGAAAAGCTTAAAATACTTAATGAGCTTGTGTACATGGATGACGGAACAGGGCTTAGGAGAAATAATAGAAAGGCAACATTTATTAAGATCTTCAAGGGAAAGGAAGTTGTGGAGAGCCATGATCGCCTATTTCCTGATACAGCATATAAAGGAGAATATATAATTTGAACTTGCTCACTTCATTTCTATGGCTTTGCCTTTTACCATGGTAAGCCTCTAATATATTAGTAAATATTTATGAGCACTTAGCTACAACGGTCTTGTTTCACTTTTTTGCATTATTTGCACCCTATAACATTGCATGATACAATTGCTTTTTGCTATTACATCAGCCATTTTTCATACATCATTTATGGTTAGAATTATCGATCATTGTGATAGTATTTGGGTAGTGAATTGGGCTTTGAATATGTGCGGAAAATCCTCACACCTACAAGAAGGACCCAAAATGTGGTTCTACGCGACGAAGGCTGTTCTGAACGCGAATGTACTGTAAAAGTAAGTTGTAGCCAAACAATTGTGCACACTGCTATTTTGAATTCACTAAACTTCAGGGATATTTATCAACAAGGATAAAAGTAGACGTCCTCGCATAACGAAAAAAAAATGTACCAAAGATGAGAGTTCAATGAAACACGATCCCTAACAGCTTCTTATAAGATTTGATGACAAGTATACAAATCAGGAAATTTAGTGGGGCATGTCCAATTCTTGAACAGCTGGACTTCTTGTCTCTTGGTACCATGAAGAATGGTGCAAGCTATGTATAAATACTGCAGGAGAAACTGGAATTACATATACAGATTACTCAGTGCAAAATATGTACGCATGATGGTGCTATGACACCCGTCAAAGGAGGTTCGCAATTCTTTGAAGAGGAACATCATAGCAACACTGAACTGGCCAGGAAAGAGCTGAAATGTGAATCCATTTGAAAATCTATGGGAAACCGTCACTATCAATGTGGCAGAATATCAATCTTCAGTATCTGTTTCCAATGTAGTCTATTGTAGATTCGACATTATTAAGACTTTACCTTTGAAACTGGAGCCAACTACACTCTTGCCTTCTTAGATATCGTGTTACAAAGAAAAAAATAACGAACTCAATTTTGATGTTTATAGACAAGCTATAAACAAAAACGACCTGGTCATTTTCTACTCAAACCACTATTCTAAAATTAAATCTGGAATTATTATAGGTTTCTATTTGAGGGGATTAAGAATCTGCAGCCCCAAATATTTACCTATAGAAGAAACATACACAGAAAACACATTCAAAAACCTACAATACCCATATCATTTTATTCACAAAACGAGAAGCAAGGCATAAAAATTATACAACCACAACAAAAATTACAACATCATCCGTAATAATAAATTATATGAGAACAGATACATAAGACTACCGAGGAACTCCATCTGGAAATATGTTACCAAATCTGTTTTTCATAATACATTGGAGAAACATTCAGAAATTAAAAAAAAACGCTTCTATAAGCCCAAAATAGACGTCATACATAAAAATTTGACAATTGCACTAGTCATACATAGAAATAAATTCAACCACAATTTTGATTTTATAAATGCTACACTCATAAAAAAGAAAATAATCCGCTCCCAAGGAAAATCCTCGAGAGTGCCGCCATTGAATATTATGCAAATATTAATCTACGCCTAGTTTTTTTTTTCTCAATCTCGCCTGTCCTAAAAGAATCACTACTCTCCCAAGCCAACATACGGTATTTACTCTGTTCCCCCACTGAGACGAGATGCGACACAAGGTGTTTTTCAAGGTGGGGACCCGAGCGCGAACACCCAGGCAAGAAACAAAAAATTCCCATAGCCCACTCAACCGTCAGTTGCGCTCGCCTCGATGCGAGCATAGTTTCCTCTATCTGGTTCCATGAGAGGGTGCGGCTTTGAGCAGCTGTTCCCCAGAAATCGAAGGGAAAATAATAATAATAATAATATCAATTTAACTGACAAACGATTGGACTTTAATCATTCTGGCATCACACATGTAACCATGTAGAAACTTGATAGACTTTCGGATAGGAATACTGTGAAGGTGGCGCAGACAAAAATACAAAGCTGACAAGACCTGGTAAGGCAATTCGGAGATGTGTACCATTTTGTGGCTGGCGTACTGGGAACTATCTCGAAGAATCTGCCATGCAAGATGACTTGTAGATACATGAGATCATTTGGGTGTGCACCTGTGGCATTGCTGCTTGGAATAGCTCATGCCTCCGAGTAGTAAGTGAGATGTGGCCATCAACATCTGACTGAAACATCTCAGGGTCTGAGAGCATCTAAAAATAATAGTAAAATACTACTACTACTACTAATAATAATAATAATAATAATAGTAATAGTAATAATTAAATATATGCAGAAAGAATGTTGTTAAAACTCCGGGAAATAATATTTTAACTATTTTCATTCAATAAAAGGCTCAAGAGCTACTCAAGGTAGATAGTTAATAAATGATGTAGATTGTAATGGTTTACAAGTAGAGAGAAAGAAGGTCATATTATTAGGAAATGTAGGATAGATCACGATTAAGATTGTACTGATAGGGAAGTCTATGCTATAACAGCTAGGTTCATAAATAGTCATGCACAAAAGAATTGGCATTGTTTAATGGATATTCAGGTAGTACAAAAATTTGCCTCGTCGCCTTCGGTACAGCTTTACGTGCCTCTGATGTATCTGTTTATTTTTCTTATGCTCTGGGCCAACCAAGAAGCCTGATGAGCACAAATCTAACGTTTGGTAATTTGCTCAGTGTTTCTGAACTCATAACCTGTCAGCACTCGCTCGTAAAATTGGTTAACTGTATGACGTCAATTACAACCTCTGGGAACAATCCCGAAGTCAAGGAAATGGATATTAGGAAATCGGAGAAAAGTAGTCAACGGTCAGCATTTAAAAACCCGTCTTTATTTAATTTATCAATGCAATAAAACAAAAGTCACTAACAATAAAAATACATTAATTCCGCGAATTAAGCACAAGGCAATATACAATAGGCTTACGGCCATATCACGATAAAACACCCGTTTTAGTCCGATCGCCGAATTTAAGCAAAGTTGAGCCTGTTCAGTACCTAGATGGGTGACTGCTTGGGAATACCGTATGCTTGGATTAGTGGTTAGAGTCATGGATAAAGACTCAGATTGAGAAATCGGAAAACAGAGTTAGAATTCTAATCAGGTTTCTTACTTTCACTAACGTGCAAATCACTTTCGGTGATAGGGAATGGAAGAGAGACATGATCGTCCGATTTTGTCATATCCACCCCTACTAACACGCATGGAGTCATCCCGGTAAGTTAATAATCCATTCCCCCACATGAATTCAGAGGAGCCTTACGATGAATAAAGGACATCAACAGACTGAGAAAAGAAATCTATTTAAAGGAAAATAGTTTCGAATTGAACAGAAAATAGGGTTCTGATTTTGGTGGATATAAATAGGAATTTTTTCTTACGAATTACGAGCTCATCACAAAGCGTTATTTTGTAACACTCCACGGAGCAGGCAATTAGTCTTCTTGACATCGTGTAAGGTATTGATTTCTGGTACTCAAAATCATACGAACGCCTGTGTGAGGATTGCAAAATATTAAAAATAACATAATAAAAATAAGGAGTAAAAACTGCAATCATTCATGCATGACAAAATTCGTAATTTTGCTGGACGTTGACATAAGGTCATCGAAAGCCAATGAAAATTGTTCTCATGTCTGTATATAGATAATCCAGATTTTATGAATGAAATATTGAGGCAAAATCACCGCTGCAAGTATTGGAGAAGAAGAATTTACTTGAAGCTTATCTACTTCACCATGATGACAGAGTTGTTCTTCTCACTGCCAAATCTGATGTTCCAATTTTGAGAAGTGGATTCGAGTGGAAAACTTTTCAGAAACCCTCAAACACACAGAGAAACACACACACACAAAAAAAACACACACACACACACATATATATATATATATATATATATATATATATATATATATATATATATATATATATATATGTATATATGTATATATGTATGTAAGTATGTATGTATGTATTTATGGGCCCCCATTTCAGAATTGTAGAAAAAAATGGCGTATTACTGTCACTGAAAAATCATTTTGCGTACAAAAACAGATCAAACAGAAAGTAACTCAATTTTTGTATACTGACCGGTTCCAATAATTTGAATATTTGTATTTATATAGATTAACTAATCAGCGATGTCATAATGAAACACGCGGATTTCTTGAATTTTCAGATGATTAAAATTTGATGTTAGATACCAAATTTGTTTAGGGTCATTTCAGAATATGATCAAACAATATTTTCCGTAGATAAAAAAATGTGCATCCATGTCAAACACATTCTCACACATGTAGACGCATTTGTGTTTCTTCTATAGAAACGCAGTTTTCATTCGGTTGTACTGTAAAAAAAGATACACAAAAGGTTTGTGTGAAGCGGTTTCGCAAATAATCTTTTTAATTAATCTCTTTCAATTTGAAAGAAAAATAATAAAAAACAATTATTTAAATTTCCAGAGCCATGTTGAAGATTCGCTTATTTCTTCGTTTTTTATACACGCATAAACCGATATATATATATATATATATATATATATATATATATATATATATATATATATATATATATATATATATTATATATATATAAATATATATATATATGCATATATATATATATATATATATATATATATATATATATATATATATATATAAATATATATATATATAAATGCATATATATATATATATATATATATATATATATATATATATATATATAGTGCGATGGACAAATTGTCGGCATATTATATTTTTAATTTCGTCCACTGCACAGTATAAAGGGGTCAAAAAAGAAAAATACAGTATCACGCAAATTTAAATTTAGAAACGACATGCAGCACCGCATGGCATTCGCGAGGAAAACTCCAATACGAACTTTTCAGAGTGTTTGTCTGCCAATCTGAAGACAGTGCAGAGGATTCCAAAAGAGTTGAATGAATCTAATGGTGATTACGAAAGTGATTGGTGTGATTACTAGTGAAGGCGACGTTATGCCTCCATTCATCATTCCTCAGACTCATCACGGAGGCCTAAACGAAATGCAGTGATGGTGCTACCTGGGTCAAGAGGGTTGCGGCTGGAACTATTTTTGGCAACACGATTCTGCACCATGCCACAAAACAGGAGAAACCAGTCATGAATGTCCGACAAATTCTACGACCACATCACCCCTTACATCTGGCCACCAAATCCTAAGACTGCAACCCCCTTGAATATTATGTGTCGGGCGAATTTGAGCGAGGGACCAAAGAAACTCCTTGTAAACCTGAAGCCAAGGATTATGGCAGCATTAACCAACTTAAACAAAGAGAAAGCCCAGAAAAGTTGCGGGAGGTTCCGAAGTCTTCTGGCGACCGTGGTTGAAGCCAATTGCGATTATATTGAATAAAATTACTCTTTAGTAATTCAAAATATTTTGGTGTAATTTTCATAAATATATCTGGTAAAATGAGATGTCAGTATTATTTTCATTTTTCGTAATTTATACGATAATTTATCCATTGCATCACACACACACACACACATATATATATAATAAAAACTGACCACTTTAAGTTTCCATGTAATATATATGTAAGATATTACATGGAACCTTAAAGTGGTCTGTTTTTATTTAAATTATTTTCTCTGGATTTACATTGAGATCTCTGGATTTTATCATCCTTAGGTTTACCCATACGAATTACCTACCTTTTCATAAACTATATATATATATATATATATATATATATATATATATATATATATATATATTTATATATATAGGATAAACATATATTTGTACGTATTAAAAATTTGTATTTTTAAAATATATCTCAGTAAACGTAATAACACCTCTAATAAAATTGATAACATTAATAATAATATTATTCAAAATAAACATACAACTATTAACGTATACTATTGTAACCAAATGCATTATAATTAAAAACAGCATAAAAAGTCAAAAACATAATAGGTAGAAAAGTTTTTTCAATGTTAAAATGTCACAGTCATACACGAATTAAAGCGTGAAAAAACTTACTTGGTTAATGGCAAATAAAAGTGATTTAAACAGTTATAGCACATTTCTCATATTTAATATCAATACACGGAAGGTTCATGTCTGTAATTTATTTATCATATATATATATATATATATATATATATATATATATATAAAGAAAAACAGATCCTTTTAAGGTTCAATTATAAAAAATTATTTCACTAGAGCCCTTTTAAGGGACACTTCCAAAAAATGAAACGAAAGATGAAATGAAAATTCCCACTTTTGGCGGGTAGTATTAGGTTTATGTAATTTAACAAAGAGGATAACGAAGAGAGTGTGAGAGTCATGGTCGAGTTTAGAGTGGGTTTATTTTAATATTTCTTTCAATCATACTTAGTATTGGGGGAGGAGGGACCAGACCTTGACCTATTTAAGACACACACACCCACACACACACACACACATATATATATATATATATATATATATATTAAGCATTACGCCCCGAGCAAGGCATGAAGCCACTAGGATGCAGGGGGTTGCGGAAGATTTGGAGCGAGAGCGGATAGAAGTGATAGAAGAAAGGATGAGGAGAAGGATAGTGGGTAGATCAAGGTAACTGGAGGTGTCGATTGACATTATATTTGAATAGTTGGAGATTATAGCTCTCAGGGAAACAGTAATTGGGAAGGGTGTTCTACAGGCGAGAGGTGCAAGGTATGAAGCTATTGGAGTAGAAGAGACGCCTACATTTAAAAGTTTCTATAGTGTAAGGGTGAGAGCGGGATGTCAGCCTCGTAGGGCGCTTGAATTCATGGAGGCTGGGAACCAGTGAAAGCAGCTCATCGGAGCAATTACCATGAAAGTATTTATAGAAAAGACAGAGAGAGGCGACGGCGCGTCTGTGAGAGAGTGACTGCAGACGAGACGCCAGATCAGGGCCAATAACATTACATATCCGTCTCTGGATCTTGTCAAGAACTCCGAGGTAAACAGAAGGTGCCCCAGACCATATATGGCAGCAATACTCCATGCAAGGTCGAATGGTTGTTTTGTATGTTTGAAGTATCGATTCCGGGGAGAAAGAATTTCCTATCGCGGCACAGAGAGCCAACTTTCCTCGCGGTGGAAGAAGCAACTGGCTCAATTTATTTGTTCCATCTCAGGTCAGCAGTCAACGTGAGACCGAGCAGACGAAGGGAGTTGCTCTCAGGAAGTTGACTATCAGACATTTTAATGGGGGGCAGGGAAGGATCTCTATGGTGGTTAATTGAGAGTAATTTAGTTTTTGAGGCGTTAAAGTTGACCAGCCAATTCTTGCCCCAGATAACAACAGATTGGAGGTCCATTTCAAGACGCACGGCCAGGTTAGTTTAGTCACCGACACTAGATTTGTTTTTGAGGCAGGAGTAAATTGTAGTGTCGTCCGCGTAGATGCCAACTTGGGATCTATGGCGTCAGGAAGGTCATTGATGAAAATAAGGAAAATATTGGGGCCGAAGATGGAGCCTTGGGGAACACCTGCATTCGTGGGATAGGAACTGGAGGAGAATCCGTTGAGAACGACCTTCAATTCTCAGTTTGCAGGAATGATTGTATTAGATCAAACAGTCGACCAGTAATACCATAACCCTGGAGCTTAGGAAGAAGGCCGGCATGCCAAACCCTATCAAACGCTTTGGAGATGTCTAGGGCCACGGCACGAGCCTCACCGTTATTTTGAAGGGGTTGGTAGACGGTTTCAGTGATGGCCGTAAGCACATCAGCTGTAGATCAGGCGTAGCGGAAACCATATTGCTTGTCTGAGAGCAGATTATGGGATGTAAGGTGGTTAACCACTTCGGCATTGATTAGGGCTTCGAAGACTTTGCCGAAGATGGGTACGAGACTAATAGGATGGTAATTAGAGGGGTCAGAGGAGTCTCCAGAGTTCTTAAAGACAGGAATAATGGATGAGGACTTCCAGCAGTCAGGAAAACAGGATTCCTTGAGGCAGTAATTATACAGTTTAGAGAGGGCGGGCGCTAGCTC